AGTAAGCTGCGAATGAACTGGCAAATGAATATCAAATTGGCAAAGGTGCAAATTGTGCTGCAAGAACAATAAGTAGCAACGCGCACCAAACTAGCCGGTGCGATCATGCGTTTTGTGCAATTCAACGATTGCCTATTAATGATTTTCACTACTCTGTACTTTAGTCTATGCAAAAAATGTTCAAACACTAGAAAATAATTAAAAACTTCACGCACCAGCGCATGAAAGCTGAATTCGAAACCTTGAAGGGTGAATACTTTTCCGTGATTCCCGAGATAACAATTTACCCGTAAAAACTTTCACAAGCCCGTATGTGATACTCGAGAGCGCGGGAACGCTGAATTTGAATGGCCAAGGTTGAGCGTGGGCAGGCAGTCATTACCATAAAATTTCAGCCTCTAGATTCCGTGGTTCCCGAGATATTAATTTACCCATAAAAAACTTTCACGGGACCATACGTGTTACCCGCGGGTACGGGGAAGCTGAATTTAAATTCGCGGGGTCACACGTGGGTTGGGAACGTTCCCCTAAATTTTCAGCTCCCTAGCTCTTGTTGTTCCCGAGTTGAAAGTTGCAGACAAGTTGCTGCGAACATACACAAACATACATAGAAATAACCTCGTGACAATATGCGTTTTGTACTGCTGTTACACAGCACAAAACGCATAAAAATTCCAGTGAAATATAAAAGGGAAAAATGAAAGATAAAAATGGCTATGGACAGTAAAAATTAAATAGATTCGCTAATGGCTTGTTTTAAAATCTATTTTGCTATCCTCTCCCTCTCCATTCGTTCACTTCTAATGTCCATTAGACTGGATTTCCATCCGAGCCGCTCAGTGTTCTTGGAAAAACGGTCCTAGAGTAAATCATGTAATCGGGCAGTGACACACCTATAAGGAGGCAGATGACAGAAGTAATTGCTGTTCTTTGCGTTAAGAGTACTAAAAACATACAAAAGAGACTGGAACAGTATCGAGGCGGTAAATTTTTAAGAAATCGAAAAAAGCTAGAAGAAAGTGTTACTCTGACCCAAAACCGCCATTTCCATCGCCCTCGTTTTTGAAGAAACTAAACCCGTTGGCAAAAGACACCAAATTTCAAATCAAATTTCAATTATCATACGCAGCCAATATATATTCGTGACTCTTGTAATTTTTCAAAAAATTTTCATCTCCTAAGTATGTACTTCCTTGAAATCAGTAGAAATGAACATTTTGAGAAAAGTTTGAGCTGTCTTAATTCAAAAGAAACGTACCATTTGCCAAAGTGAGTGCGATGGCAGCTAAATACTGATTAACATCATTCATCTCATAGAGATCGCACAATAGAATACATTGCCTAGAAGCAAAATGAATGCAGGATATTGTTAATTTTAAATAAAAATCTGGAAATAAATTAGGTGTTTTCACTCGATAACGCAGATTTTTTTTTTTTTTAAAAGAAGTCAATTCTTACCTAACACATTCAAATCTATGACGCCAGTTGCGGTCATTCTCGGTATCTGAGTGCAAGAAGGAGGGCACCAGCGGGAGCAATGATCGCCTTGATTTCGGCGTTACCAGCTAAAAATACAACAGTATTTCAGCAATGAATCATTTCATTATTCCTCTTCCCTTCCTATCTTCAAAAAAAGAAAATTTAGATAAAATCTTCAATCCTTTTGTCCTTCAAAAACTACTAAAGGAAAATAGAGGCATACCATTTGGCCTTTTCGTCTTTCGGTGCAAAGGATTCCCTTT